GCAAGAATCGCCAAAGTCCTCTAAACACATCACCAATTCCCGCACCCCTTTGAATACCGTATCCTCTTTGGAAAGGAGGCGCACCTTTGAAGTATGTATAAGTACTTTCGCTTAAATTTTCGAGACCTCCACCTTTTTGAATACTCTGAATAAAATCATCATATCCTACTTTTGTCGTATCAAATATAATATGTACCATTTTTTAAAAATTTTATTAATAATTTAAAATGATGAATATAAATATGAATTAATTTATTTATTATTATTAAAAATTTATTACTTTTTTAAAAATTAACACTATGAGTACTGTTCCATAAGAGAATGGTACTAAACGTCCATTGTCTAATGTTCTAAGTTCAACTTCTATATCATTAATTTCCTTGGGAAGAACTCTTGAGTAAATTGGTGTATCATAAATTTTTTCATTATACTCTCCAGGGGTAGCACCTGAAATTGACACCACACGCAGCAACGAACTGAGGGAATCGCCAATAATCATCTTTTCAGTGAGCCCTTTTACATACACGCCGAAGCTAGAAAAACCTCCTCTTAGGTCACTTCCATACTTTGCAACGTCTTTATTTTTAATTATTTGTGGATTTTCAAATCCTAGAACATAACATAACTGTGTTGATAATGATATGTAATCGATATTTGAATGATTAATTTTTAAAAAGAATCTCCCAAAATCATTGTTGTAATCAAATGTAATAGAATTGACCATATTTTTCAAAAAAAAAAGTTAGGTTACCACTTAGACGAATACCTTCCCTCCACAAAGAAAATTTATTACTATCAACATTATCATTATTCTCTTCCTTATCTTCTTCGATAGTAATCTCATTGTCATTATCCTTTACTACTGTTGTATTACTCTTAATCCTATGGCTATTCTCTTCCTCATTTATTTCTTTCAGAGAGGCTGATGATTGGTTAATGTTATCCTGTGTCTGCCCTGAAACTCCTGATTTCTTATGTCTATCATTCAATGGTTCATTCTCTTGTATCTTTTTCTCAGCTGTCTTTACTTTTTCTCTAACCTGCTCGTTTTCCTTTACATTTGTAACATTATTTTTCTCTATATTTGACGGTTTATTAGCTTTTGGTGGTGATATTTTTGGAGGCGTTTTCAGTACTGTATTTTGTTTTGGTTGTGACTCGGGTAAATCATCGATCCTTGGGGGAGTTTGGAGATCACGCTTCCTTTTTCTATCTAATCTTGGAGGTGATATTGGTGGTGATGCTTTAGGAGGTGATTGTAAATTATTTATACTAGGAGTCGATTCAAGATCTCGCTTCCTTCTATCCAGCCTTGGAGGTGAGACAACAGATTTGTTCTTTGAACTATTAGGATCAAAGACCAAATCGATTGCCTTAGCCTGATGTTCAAGTGTTGCATTCAAGAAATCACGTAATTTTTCAACTTTAGTGTGTGAAGCTTTAGGTATGGGTATTCTTAAAACACTTTTCTGTCCAAGATCATCAGTGAAATGTATTTTTAGCCATTGTTCGTCTAATGTACCAATAGTTGATGGCCATGAGTAAGGATATGTTATACTATGTAATCCACACACCCAATTTCCATTAAAGTGAATAGGCTTTGGTAATTGAACACGAAACTTATTTGGTTTATTTATGGAATAATTAGGGACATTACTAGGTAAATGAATAAAAAATGTATTTGACATTTTTATTTAAAATTAAAAAATTTTTACAAAAGATTAAAATGAATGATTTTTATACTAATTGTGATTCATGAATCCATTGTGTTTCAGGATATCCAATGAATTTTACTAAAAGTTTAGTAGTTCCATCATCACTCTTTCTCTTACGTAATATCTTCTAAATACGGTATTCAGTATTGTCATCCCTCTTTACTTTTGCCAGCTCCTCTTTATAGAAAGAACCTTTGAATTTGTCACCTTTATCATCTTTTATTTTATATGTAATAGGGGATAGAGTAGTCTTCACATCATCAACTTGTAATATTTCATCTCCCCAGTTTGGTAAATAACCTTTCTCAAAATGTCCTTTGTCTCTACTTAATCGAACATAATCACCTTTGTTAAATTTTGACTTAACATTTTTTATATTTGAAAAAATATTTCCATAAATCTTTTTCCATACAGTTTGAGCATTTTTGAAATTTACATCAACTGGACGCAATCCATGAACTCTGGATATTGAATGATTTATTCCGTCTACAATTTTTTCGAGGACATCTACCCATTTTAATGTCTTTTTCTGCGCGAAATATCTATATAAACGTTGCTTAATATTTCTAATTGATCTCTCAGCTATAGAAGCTTTTACTGTTGAATGATTTGCTTCAAGCTTTTGAATATCCTCCTTCGCAAAAAATTCCTTTAACTGTTTATTTTTAAATTCTGTACCCTTATCAGAAAAAATTCTATGCGGTTTCATAGGCATTTTATTAATCAAATCCTGGAATGCTTTTACCATTTCTTCTCCTTTCTTAGTTTTAAGAGGTACTGTAAATAGACGTTTTGATAATACATCGATTCCCACTAGAATATATCGATTTCCTCTATTGTGTTTCGAAAGCGTTTGCATATCGGCCAAATCAACTTGTAGATCCGTCATGAAACCAGCTGCTATTGTTTTACTTCTAGGGAAACGTATTCTTTTTGGGCGCATGAGGGTATAGGTACGGTGCCCTTCTAAATAATTTTCAATCACATGCCTTGGAATATTTTTGTATGTTTTCTTTGCTTCTCTCCATAAACTATCAACACCTGCATATGCTGAAGGGTTTTCTGGATCATTATAAAGTTTTTCAAGTAGTTTTTTAGGATCCGCCATTAGTAATATTACCAGAGTCCTGGTTTAAATCTATTAATATCTGACTGTGTTGGTTTTCTCTGTGCCCAGATCTTTCGTTGGATATCAATTTTTGATGGTCTCCTTTGTGCCCAATTATTAATAATTTTAATTTTCCGCTTTTTAAGTGGAATTTCCGGATATCCTTCTTCTGTATACTGTAATTTTCTTTTTTCAATTCTTCTTTTTACCTCTGGTATTTCTTCAGAATATTCTCTCTTAATTATTTGACTTTTAACTTTATCCCTTGTTTCTTCAGGTTGTGAAACAAACGGAGCGTTTATTGCTTCGGTGACTTGTTCACTTTTTATTGATCTATTAACGAGATCGCTAGGCATATACGGTACTCTTAATTTTTTAATGTCTTCCCTTCTTATTATGTGTTGTCTTTTCTTTTCTTTCCTCTCTCTAATACTTTCTAAGTATTTATTATCTTCTCTCTCTTCCTTTAGTTTATTTTTTAATTTTCTAGTTTTACTTTTCTCAATCTCTTCCTTATTTTCATCATCATTTTCCTCACCTCTAGGTTTTAATAGTTTTTTATTTTCCGGGACATCATCATCATCTCTTCTTCTTTTGGGATTTCGATTGAAGATTAAAGGTGTCTTTTCTTTCTTGACCTTATTACGAGGTGGAACAGGTGGTGGTTGTGGGGATGGTGGCTTAATTTTAATATTTCGTCCATGAGATGGGATAAGAGGTGGTGGTGGTGACGGTGACGAAATTACAGAGGAATATTTAGGTTGTTGCTTTGTAAACGAAAAATCATCACCCATCCAAAATTCATTATCATCATCGTTTCCAAAATCATCATCTCCCGTAGATATATATGTTGCTGGTCGAGAATTAGTTTTGGGTAAAAGAACACCTTTAGGTTTGTCAACTACTTCAACTCTAATTGGTTTATTTTCTCTTTCATTTCGCATATTGAGATATCTCCTCAATTCTTGATTATAATTTACATTTTTGACATCTTTACTTTCCCTTCGTCTCCTAGTATTGTCTAATGCAAGTTTAATTGAATCTAGATTTGGTTCGCTTGTTGACATAATTGTTGAAGTAAGACCTCTATATAAATCCTCTGGGACAAGGATAAGTTTATTGGCCATAAATATTTATTATATCTCTCTTAGTAAATATCGCCCTGCTTCTATAATTATAGGTGTCAATAGAGCTGCGAATAATGAGCCCAATCCACTGCCTTTTTGTATTAAAATTTTACGAGCACCTCGTTCACTTCTTGTTCGACTTAATTTTCGAACAAAATCTGCGTGAGGTATTAAACGTTTTTTCTGACGAGTAGTTAGATTGAAACGTGATTTCACTATATTAATACAAATCTCCGCTATAGAAAGTAATTGTTCTCTTGTCGCCTTTTTTAATAATTTTTTCTTTTTTCTTTCGGAATTAGTATAAGCTAAAGTTTTTAAAAATTTTATGTTTTCTTTAACAAGTTGACTAATTTTTGAATTATTATGTTCCATTTTTTGGAATGAAAATTAATTTTTCGTTGTCATCTGTAAATATGTTTGATCTTAACCTTAATATAGGATCTGAGGAGGCATGCATATCAATTAGTAAGTACCCATAAGGTTCATTTGTCGCCTGCCTGTACGCATCCAAGAAAAAATCCAATTTTCGTGGGAAGAGTTGTGTTCCAATGTTTCTGACACTTAAGGCTGAATTCGGTGATCTCATAAGTATAAGATATTGTGCATTTTGTCTGGCTACTTTTATTTTCTTTTCAAACAAATTTTGCGTAACAAAAATAATTGCGAAATTTTGATGATGTGATTTTTTAGTGAATAACTCAGATAGATATTTCTCATCGATTGTAAGTAATAAATCATCTAAAATCAATAATAATGGCTTAGGATAACGCTTTATCATTTCCTCAGTTGGGACACCTCCATATACATTAACACCTGATCGTTGAAGCACTGGAACAATTGAACTCATTTCACCATAACAATAGAGTATACTATTAGGTTTAGGGTCAATTAACTCAAAGGCCTGAGAAATTAGCCTGATAAGGAATGTACTTTTACCAGAAGAACTAGGCCCGGAGATGATCATTCCAAATGGTAATTTAAATTTTAAACTTTTATTCAAAATTGTATTATTATTTAACATTTTTATTGCTTGAAACTATTTAAATATTAAACTGAATTCTGATTTACAATATCTGTGAATTTTTGAGTATTAGGATCAGTCGTATCATTATAAAATGATTCATTAATTTTTTCTTCATTACTAACACTTCGTTTTACGACATTCTTTTCATTAGCAATCGATTTGAAAAAATCATCCAATTCTTCCTCTACTGTTTTTATTGTTTCAGTCTTTTCTTGAGTTGTCTTTACTATCTCGTTATTATTTTCTACATCCATGGTAGTTTTTAATTCATGCTCTATTTTTAATCCTGAATCTTTCTCTTGTTCGGTTTTATCTGGATAACTTGACAAAGGTTGAATAATAGATTTCTTTTGTTCAACACTGTCCCGATCATTAAATGGAATATTGAGTACACGACCTTTGTTTTTGATCTAAATATCATATTAATTTAATATTTAAATTTAACAAACCCTAAAGAAACAATGACCAGGCATATCATAAATTGAATCAAAGGGGACGAATCGGTTCCCTTTGATCCGATTACAGTATACAGTCACTCCTTCCTTTGTTACAACAAAATCAATTTCCACTTCAATAGATTTGCACTCTCTACAACGTCCACACTGATCGAATGGAAGAAAACGTGGAGTGCTAAGTCTAGATTTTGCTTGAAGTGTGATTCCGTTAGTATTGACATTGAATTCAATTTCTGGAATTATTATTTCGGAAATATATCGTTTATCACTCATATTAATAGCCATTTTGTATAAGTTTATAGAGTGCTAAATTATTTATGAATGATTACTCAAATTTCGTGGATTTCATTTACGAGAGATAATTAAATTAAAGCCCCGCCCACTTAAAAAATTTAGTATAAAATAAGAAGGTCAAGCGAGCAAAGACCGTTAGAAATACAGCGAGATTTCCCTTTCAACTTACCGCCAACCCCTTTCTCTCACTTTGACAACCCAATCAAACCCTCTTATGGGCAATAACTAGTTACTTTCAGGTATTCCATAGGCTCTACTTAATTACCCTCGGACGCCTCCCTCTCTCAACCAAATCAATACATTTCACTTTCATTGAGTAAGGGTTATATTTTTTACTATGATAATTATTATGTAATTATTAATAATTGTCCTTCTATTAGAGAGGGGTCATTAGGATATGAATCTCCTTTTAAACAACCTGCCAAAATAATTTAATTAGTTACAATAATTGGTATATAATTATTAATTATGGTTCTTTTATTAGAGAGGGTCATTAGGCAGGGGGTTATTGTTCATTAAACAAGGGGATAATTGTTCTCGGACCCCTTTAATTCAACCCATTTAATTAACTAATAATTTTTAATTTATTAAAAATTACTTTTTAATTTGCTAAATTAATAATTACTTTTTAATTATTTAATTAATAATTACTTTTTAATTATTTAATTAATAATTATTATTTAATTATTATTTACCCTTCCCTCTCATTCAACCATTTAATTAATTAATAATTAGTTTTTAACTAGTTAATAATTATTATTTAATTATTATTAATTACCCTTCCCCTCTGAATAAATACATTTAATTAATAATTACTTTTTTAATTAATTATTATTTAATTATTAATTACCCTTCCCCTCCCATTCAACCACTTAATAATTAATTAATTTTTAATTATTAATTAGGGGTTTCTATTAGAGAGGGGTTACCTTATACCCTTTCAAGTGCCGCCGACCCCTTCCGTAGGTTTAGGCTTCCCAGTCAAACCCTTCCATAGGCACTAGTTAATTGACAGCGGACCCCTCCACACCCCACTCATTCAAAAGGTTTGTCCACTCAAACCCTCCCATACCCACAGGTTAATTGACTATCGACACTTTAATTCAGTCCATTAATTAACTAATAATTACTTTTTAATTATTAATTAATAATCATTAATTACTCATTAATTATTAATTACCACGGACCCCTTTAACCCCTTTAGTTTAATTAATTATTTAATTATTAATTACCCTTCCACTCTCATTAATTAACTAATAATTAATTTTTAATTGATTACTAATTAATTTTAATTGCTAATTAGGGGCTTCTATAGGAGAGGGGTTACCTCATACCCTTTCAAGTGACCGCTGACCCCTTCCATAGGTTTAGGCTTCCCAGTCAAACCCTTCCATAGGCACTAGTTAATTTACAGCGGACCCCTCCCCAACCCAATCGGTCAATAGATTTACCTCCCAAACCCTTCTTTACCCTTAGGATAATTGCCCACTGACCCCTTCCCACCCCCACTCACTCAATAGGTTGACCAACCAACCCCTCCTTTAGGCACAGGCTATCCTCTCTCGGACCCCTCCCCCCAGCGACCCACTCAATACCTTTGTATTAAGTGCGGGAAATTTTACCGCACTCCCGCGACGGTGCCTGTGTTTCTACTACTCTCCGGCATTTTTATCCATAAAAAATTTGGGAACATGGTTGTTCTATATATCAATTAAAGGCTTAAACCATATCTCATTTGACTTGTTCTAAAGAAAATTTTAGTTGAGTAGATAAGCCTTGATAAATGGGTTCAGGTGGGGTTTACTAAATCCGGATAGCCATTAAAAATCTTTTTTCGAGTTTTATTCTCTATTTTTTTTAAAAGGATCTTATTCTGCTTCGAAAGCCAATTCACCAACATGGACTTTCTTAGCAAAAAGAGCATTCAGTTGCCAGCGATCTACCGAATCCGTCCCGGTAATGGATCAAGGATGTGCCAGGAGTGCATTAACGATGGCTTCTGCAGGACGCACTATTCTAATGGAATTAAAATCCAATGGAATGGCTTTATGTTGTTTTATAATGGAGATTATAAAACAACAGATGTTGTCTTAGACATCGCAGGCCATCGGTTTGCTTTTCAAATTTTTTAAAAAATATTTAGAATTATAAGGTCCATTCAATTTTTATTTACCCCTAGGAAGCTGAAAAGTCCAAATTGAAATACAGTACCTAATTTGAGAGATATTCTAAGGAGGAAATCCCTGAGGAGATACCTGACCTTAAAATACCTTAAAATTAAATATCTTTATTAAATTTATTTAGTGCGGCATTTAACATCTCAAATGCAAGTCCCCTGGATCTTGTCAACGGATTAGGTTCCGATTCCAACACCCGCGGTAATAATAAAATTATAAAGACAAATTTAAAATGTTCTGTTTAGACAAGATCCACAGCACTCTGAAATCCAACGACTTCTGGAAGAACGTCAGCAATAATGGCGTTCGACTTGAACAAGTTATTGGATATGAGATCCTTGAGAAGGACGTCCAATACTGGGACGAGCAGAACGCTGATGATTTCCGCCGAAACAATTACATAAAAAAGATCAAACTCGACCAATGCCTCGAAGTGAGTTTATGGGAGATACTTTTAACTCATTGAGAGATTGAACTTTGGGGAAATTAGGTTTGATAGACTTCCTCTACCTAGAGATAATTTTAACTCCCTTTACCTGGGATACTTTTAACTCCCTTTACCTGGGGATACTTTTAACTCCTTTACTTGGAGATACTCTTAACTCCCTTTACCTAGAGATACTTTTAACTCTCTCTTTTCTTTGATAGCTTTTTGTATTTCGAATCACTTAACGCTCTCTCTATACGGGACTGAGAAACCGTTCCAACAAACCATTTAGCCTATGTTTTGGTCCTCATTTTAGCACTAAAAAATACCGTATCCTTTTTTGAATAGATTTAGTATTAGGTGTATCTTATAGTTAAGTCCGGCTATATTGCCTATTATCTGCCATAACCTACCTATAGTTAAGCAAAAAATTAAATTTCAAATGGATTTTTAATACTAGTTACTTAAATATTCTTATTTTAGTCCCAGTGCAGCTACTTCACCTCGCCGACCGAGTACGATGACTACAGCTGCAAGTAAATTATATAGCTTATTTCACATATAATCATACATTATAAATTTTTAGCTGCGGCTTTCCGGTCAGCCAGAAGCCAAAAAGCGCCGTGAAGAACGACAGAGTCAACAAAACCACCGCGTGAGTTAATTTGAAGTTTAAAGATAAAATTGAGGGGTTTTTGGGCTAGTCCTTTTTCCGGATTTGATCCTGGGCTTAATCTCATCCTTTAATAGTTAAACTCTATATGCCTTATCCTTTACCTATTAGTCTTATTTTGATTTTTGATAGGTGCTGCAGCCAACATCATCAATGTATTGCAGCTTTGGCTAACTGCACTGGGATTCCGGCCATGAAAAATTACATCAGAATCGACAAAAATTTGTATAATCATGAAAAAGACCAGCGTAAGATTTAAAGATTTAATTTGACTTTAGTTTTAAAAATCTTGTTATTGCAGCTCGTATGAACATCAAGTGCTTGAGTGATCAAAACGATTACTGTCAGCAGGCACTCTGTCTGTGTGACAGGTAGTAAAATTATTTAATAAAACTTTGCTTTAAAACCTATTCGAGGTAGGCAGACATTAGAATCTAGGATCTTTTTGAAGTCGCTTCATTATGGCATGATATTGTCACATAATACTATAAGGGATAGGCGACTTATTAAATTATAGACTCCAAATTCGGCCTGTCTAAGCTCCAAATCCTAGCGATTATTGAAGGGTATTGGTATTCAATTAAGGCTTCCTCAGTATATTCTGTAGAAAAAAATTTTTGGATTTCAAAAGGCCAAGAAGCCAGAATTCTCCCTTTCTTTTTTAGTTTAAAAGGGGTAGTATTTTTACTTTACCCGTGTTACATACCTCAATCAGTGTTATGATCTCTTTTTCATATCCTTAATAAATTAAATGCTAAATAACTTAAAAATTTTTAATTCAGCGCACTCACGAGCTGCTGGTCGAAAATCCAACCCATTCCGTCAGGCAGCGGCTGCTTTAGCTGCTACCTCGACGATGCTTTGCTTTTTGCCGAAGGGCCAATTACTGATGTAATAAAGGTCCGGCAACAATATGTTCCATTAGAACTGGAAACATCATTTCTTTTATTCGACGCCTACAATGGCAAGGATCTCCCGACGGCCAATGAAACCATCATATTGGCCGTCATGAACGTGAACAACGGGATTTCCACCGTTCGTAGGTCGGAAAAAACAATGGAGCAGATCATCCATTCCACGCGAATTTTGATTGACAACGATGTCAACAAATATGAGGAGCTTTCTACAGCATTCAACAACGATCTAGAAATAAGAGCTCTAAGATCGACGAATGAATACCGTTCGGTTATGCTTAGAATTGCTCCCTACCTCTATACAACTGAACAATATAAAACTTACCATGCTAGTAAAAGATTATTGAACGCCACAAAGGAATTGGAAAATCTGTTTATAAAGAAGACCCATGAAAAAATGAAGAATCCGTAAATAATTAATTTTGAAAAAAATTTTCCTCTGACATTATTCCGTTCCTGAAAGTAAAATTTAGATTTTGAATAATTCCCCAGCCCTCCCCCCTTCTTCCTCCCCGGAAAAATTTCTTTAAAGTAAATTTTCGTCTTTAATAAGTCTGGTTAACAGAAAAATTCAAATTTTTCGGATTTTCTAAATTCCCACTCTGAATAATTTTATTTGATTCGAGGTTTGTAAATGTATGGATATCCAAAAATTTTCGGATCGATATCGAAACCGAAGTTTAATGTATGAGGATTTCCCAGGATTCGCCAACTAACTCTGAATTCTTTAATTCACCTCCCGCCTTCCCCCTCCAACTCTTCTCCGTTTTCACTGCCAATTTTTTAAATTGTCTTTTTAT